TAAAAGTCTAGAAACATGACCTGTGAGGAAAAATTGAAAAAATTGAATTTGTTTAGTTTGGCAAAGAGAAGACTGAGAATAGACATAACAGTTTCCAAGTACATAAAAGGTTGTTACAAGGATGAGGAAGAAAAAATGTTTTCCGTAACCTCTGAGGATAGGACAAGAAGCAATGGGCTTAAATTGCAGCATGGGTGGTTTAGGTTGGACAGCTAGGAAAAATTTCCTAACTGTTAGGGTGGTTAAGCACTGGAATAAATTGCCTAGGGAGATTGTGGAATCTCCATCATTGGACATTTTTAAGAGCAGGTTAGATAAACACATGTCAGGGATGTTCTAGATAATACTTAGTTCTGCCATGAGTGCAGGGGACTGGACTAGATGACCTCTTGAGGTCTCTTCCAGTCCTATGATTCTAAATGGCCTGTAAAGGAAGTAAGTTTATATCTGCTCAATGTTTCAAATGAGTTGGCTGCCTCATGGTTAGGGACAGGAGTTAATAAACCCTGTCACAATGTGGGTGAAAACCCTAAGTAGAAGTATAAATTAAAGAAACTTAACACTCACTATTTGATATTTCCAGATGTGGTGACTAGCAGTTTTCTTCCATGTGCAGGAAGCAGATTTTCCTCACTGAAAAGGGGAAGATAGTTTGGCCTCTCTGTAACCCATGAAAGCTTTGTTTCAGATGAAGGCAAAACTGAAAGTGTAAAGCTTTTTATCTTGTAGCTTTACCAAAACTCCTAGTGAATCCTCTACTCCACACTTCTGTGTCTAGCTTATTTAAATAGTATGCCTGACTGCATTTTTCTATTCTTTCAACAGGAAACTTCACCACTCACTGTCAGCCTGGGAGCACAGTGATCAGAAGGGAACTTCCTTTTCCCTCTTTCAGCTTGTTAATTCTTTATGAACCTTTCTATTTTAGAGAGATGGGTCAAAAACATGTCTATTCTAAAACACACCTGCACACCTTTAAAAAATTTCTCTTCAAGTGACTAACACAGGCATCTTGGGTTTCCAAGATCTGAGTGAAATGATTTGTTAATGTTTAATCAAAGTCCCTTTAATTAAGGTTATTTTTACCTCATCATTATTTGATTTGAGAAAAACAATTGTGTGTTTTTATGGCTTTTAAGAGCATAAACAACTAAAACCAATTACTTCCCTAAAGTACTAAATAATATAAGAATCCAATTGAACTTACAATGTAAACCAAATTAATCAATTCAAGGAGTTAATAGTATGAATTAAAATTGATTAACAAACATTTGAGATCCACGATTGATCAAATTATTACATGAGCACAATCACAAAACTACTAAATACAAATTACTGAATAGTTTACTTAAGTAAGCTGCATAGTAATAGAATTATTATCAGTTTATGCTTTTCCTTGTAGAAAGAATGGCTGGAATTCCAGTTAAGGCTGGAATTTTTACATATCTAGGAGAACTTTTAGTGATCTGTGGTAAAATTTGCTTGGAACCTTGGTTAATTGATGCCCAATCATAACGTGTATTATGGGCTTATACGCATGTGCTATTTTTGGCCCCACAAAGCTAGGACAAGTCTCTCCTGATAGGCATCTGTGCCCAGGTGTTCTGTTAAAGAAACCCAACAAAGAAAAGTTATTCAGGAAAAGAAAAAGGAACTGCTCTTCTCCTTGCTGGGTCTGTAGAGCTTTAGAGTCAGTCAGGGATTGCAGTTCGGTGAACTACACATTTTTCAGCTGAGGTACCATCACACTGGTGGGCATTGTCCTCTAGTCAACTGGCTGGTCTGTGGTGTGTTTGTCTCCACTTTCCTTGGGACCAGCTCAGGGAAATACGAGCATCAACTGTCTGATGCTGTGATGACCTCAGGAAGAGCACACTTTTCTTCCTTGTTTACCAACTCTTTTAAGGTTGAAATTCAAGCTGATAATGTCCCAAAGGACCGCCCTGGAGATCTAGGTGCAGTGTGTGGGGGGGATTGATATACATCCCCTCCAACTTCAGCCTGCTCATGTAATCCACATCTTCTCCTCACATGTGGATTCCTAAACCTACAGACAACCCTCTCTGGAGGAAGTGTTGATAATGCCACTGCCAAGCCGGCTGACCTTGCCACATGGGAAGGGTGATTTTTCATGGTTATCAGGCTTGTGTTATTCCATCTCTATAATCAGAAGTAATAAGCACAGGGCTATCATTAATTACTTAAGTAACCTCAGAAGTGTGGAAAACCCTTTACAAAATGGGTAAGATTCCCTACCCTGAGCATCTTACCAACTGGGCAGAGAATAAATAGAAAGAACAGGTAATATAAGAAGAGGTAGGACAGTGAAAGGGCAAGGAAGAGGACTATGATTATGCACTCACATGGCAGGCTAGTGCACATGTCTTGAAAGTAACAAAGGTTTGTTAAATAAATTTTGAAAACAGTAATTATTCAGAGCATAAACCTCTCTGAAGTGAATTTAGAGAAGGGTAGGAAAGAGGCATGGCATTTGAGGTCAGGGAAGGATTTCTCAGCCTTCAGGGAGACATGAAAGAAAGACGTGGGGATGGGTTTGGAAAAAAGGACACAGGGTACCGAAACAAGGGACTTCATTGAGCAAGAGAGGTCTGGGGAGAAGGGAGTAAAAGGAGATGAGGCAAAAAGGAGTTAATATTCAGGGAGGATTGAAAGGCAAGAAATCCTGAGAGATAATCCCAGTTGGATCATTGACTTGCTGTGTGTCCTTGAGAGTCTCTGTACCTCTGCCTCAGTTTCCTCTTTGGTAAAGTGTTGTGAGAATTAATTAGCTAGCAAGTTAAATTTTGTATATTCAAGACAATATATAAATAAATGTTACAAATATTGTTATATTTCAAACAACCGTGCTGCAGGTCTTTGACCTAAACAGTTTAAGGTGACAAATTATAAAAGGAACATCCATTATTTCTAAAACCTACTTGAAATGACTTCCTGGTTTGAAATGCAGATACAGATCCTCAATTTATACCCCCACCTCCTTCTTAATCACAATCTTGAATTAAATTTAGGGCTTCTACATGGTGAGGTAATGTACACTATCCAGGTGTGATTTCTAAAACATACTAATGTAGTATGCATTACTTGGGCCATGTAGACTCTGCTGGTGCACTTACACATAGGACTTTCAAATCCAAAGATAATTAAACTAAATGGAATTAAAGCCATTTCAGTTCTGAATGACTGTGTCTGCACAGAGGGTTAATGCAGTTTAACTAACCCACCTTAAATTCACACCTTTAGTTAATTAGGATTAATTTTCCTGTGTCCCCATGTAGACAAGCTCTATATTAGCTATGCCTGTTGGAGCATTCAAGAGTGGGAATACGCAGAGGCCATTCAATGAATTACTAAATGTTGTGTTAAAATGGATCTAGATTATGCATTTATGTGGAACCAAATAAGATATAAAAAGAGCAGTGATCTGTCTCTTGGAGAGCACAATAACTCGAACCTGGCTCATACCCCTTTCAGTCAGCTTTACCTTCCCCTGCTGCTATTGGATATGCAAAAGCTCTTTTTCCTTAATACTTGATCAGCAGGTTGGTGTTTGTCTGATTTTGATGGCATCTGTGAATTAACTTACATTAACAGCCAGAAATCATACAAACAGCTAACTAGAGAAAAATCCTAAAGTAAAAATCTTTTTTATAACATACATATAATTGTAAACAATGTTATAAGACATAAAAAGGTGAAAAGCATTCTTCTTACTATGGTAATTCCAGTAATTGTATGGGAAAACATTTTAAAATGTAGAAGACAATGAAAGCAGCAATAAAGACAAGCTAAAACAATTTGCTCTAAAAGAACAATAACAGGCCACATCTAACTAGGTTTGTATACCATGCTTAGTGCAGTCCTACCTGAGTGCTTAAATGACACTAGCACATGTTGTTCTATTTCAGATTTATGATGGCTATATTTTGCTCCATCCTAATGATGTGATTTAATTGGGATTTCAAATTACCAGCACATTTGTCAGATTTTTTTCATTAATTTCTGTTTTGGTGTCTAATGTCCTCCAAAATTCAACCCTCTAGAGCCCACAGTGGCTCTCAACAGCCATTCTTTAACACGACTGCAGTGAAAGACCGAAGCTTTGACCTTGTACAAATGCAGTCTCCTAGCCTTTGTGAGCTGAAAGGCTAGAAATTTCATTCTCAATGAGTCCATCAGCCAGCCAATGTCCCAGATAACAGTGAAGTATCCAATTCAGTTCAGTTTCAACAGAATTTAGCAGCAATTTACAAACATGGGAAACCTATACAGCATGACTAAACAGATTCTACAGAAAACATTGTTAAAGAATCAGAGGTATACAAAAGACCAGGAGGCAAAGCATTTGCACAAATGAGCTTTCTTCCACTGGACCAAAACACTTGTTTTCTTGTGAATTCTATAATCTTCAAATGTAGATGGCACACACAAATTATGAGACCAATAGCTGAGTCCAGATTTGCCTGAACTAATTCCCTCATGCTCCTTGGGGACCAGATATGAGGGTTATTTTTTTAATAGCTACTTTTTAAGAAAAATAATATATTCATTTATCAAAGGATGGAATCGTATCTACAGGATTCATGCTTTCGCTTCTCCTGTACACTGACCCAGTATGAAGTTGTTCAAGATAGGGTAAGTCTGCCTTGTGGCTTTTACGCAACTTTAGGAAACTCGGCCTGTGTTATGTATCCATGTGTATCACCTCAGACCAGACCTACTCAGAATAAAGTTTTATTCTGAAAAGAAACATAGAACAGGATTACAGTCCAACATCCTCCTCTCTGCTTGCTTGCCTTGTGCTCAGTCAGTGTTGAAACTTCCTGCTGGAAGGACAGAGGAGACTTTGACTAACTCAACCCTCTTACAAATATGTTCGAATTCCCACAATAACTAAACCCCAACACAAACAAGCCAATGTTCTAATTTTCTGTCATTTAAACTCCTCTCAGGGTACTCTTTTTAAGCCTTTTTGGTCCTACCTGTAAAGAAACGCAGAACAGGATAACAGTCCAGCAGCGTCCTCTCTGCTGGTTTGCTTCGTTCTCACAGCTTCAGTCCGTGTTGAAACTTCCTGCTTCGAGAGCAATGGTACTTGTTGGGAGAACTTCCTGGTTCTTGCCAAGATGTCGCAGCTTGTAGTCCACAACTTGTACTTCCCACAGCTGCTGCTGAAGGACACTGGACCTTTTAGCCCTCAACTTTTTTTTTTTTTTAAAGAGCCTGTTTTCTGGCTCCTAGATGCCCGTTCCTGGCATCCAGTCCTGTATTAAGGCCCAAATCCAGCAAAGAACTTAAGTCAACTGGACTACTCATGTGCTTAAAATTGTGTTTAAGTGTTTTGCTGGATTGCAGCCTAGAGGCCAAATCCTATTAAAGCAAATGGAAATACTTTTGTTGACTTTAATAGGCATGATTAGATCTGGTCTTAAGTCCCTGGTGAATGCACAGTGCATTCTAATATTGTTTGCTGCTAAATATGTATTTACTTATTTCAACTTTTAAGTGCCTCTACTTCACCATAGGCAATTATACTAGTCAAAGCAGTAAGTCCTTGGGGACTGGGGCCAAAGAAATGGCTAATATAGTAGTTTGAAACAACTGAAAGAACTTTTGAACAATTTTATGTAACTTTTTATTGAATTATATGTAATAGAAATACAAAGGGAAAAATGACATAAGTAAACATATTTAAGGGAGAAAATTGACTCCTGCTGTAACTTCAGATGAGTTAACCAAGAGATTAACATGTTCCAAACAATCTATTTTTGGTATTACAAAATACAGCCACAATTTTACAAACACTGACATGAGTAGTTCCATTAAGCTCACTGGGACTACTCCCACATGTGTTAAGTTATTCCTATGCACAAATGTTTGCAAGATAAAGGGCCTATATTTGGACAGGTAATGAAATCTGTAGATGAATGTGGATTATGTATTTTTTTTTTTTTACCAAAATGCCTCACTTGTTTAAAATACAGAAGAAATGAATTAAAATATTATAAAAAGGTTTATTAGTAGTATATTCTTTAAAATAGAAATTGCGTATAAAGGAAATTCTCTAAATCGCCTCAATATTTATATTGCAGTAGCAGTATGCACTTAAGGATACAAGACAACCTCAGGTTTGAAGAGCTCATGGAATGATTATGATAAATTTTACAAACTGTATTCTAAAAATGTTTTATTCTATATTTAGAAACTTAACACACTTGCAGTCACAGAACAATAAATGCAATTATTACAATAAGTGGTCAGGATCAGAGTATTGGATCTTTGGAAGTTTATTTTGATACATGTCCCCCGAGAACAATTAATCTATAGATGAAACGGGACAATTCTTTACTCCAATTAAGTTAGTCATGTTAAACAATAATTCAGATTTACAGCTTTATGTCTGAAGAGTTATGCTTTTGAACCAGTGGGGATAGGCTTAGTTATTAACAGTTCATTTGTGTGAGCCAAATCATCACCTTTATGCAAAAATGATGCCATCTCTGGAATCTGAGAAAAATAATTCTTTGACAGGATATGTTTGTGCTTTATCCTGTGAATAAATACCATTTCATATGCCTGAAAGGTAAGAAAATCCAAATTTTATTAAATGCAATCAAAATCTCTTATCTATATGTTGCTGTATATCCAGTACAGTATAAACACTGCACTAGTGAACTACAAACTGTTTAACAAACGAAATCATAACATTCAAATCCAGACATGTTACTTAATGTAGTAAGATACAGCAGAACGTAGTCCTGTATAGCAGTCTTTTAAGGCCTCCTGTGAAGTGATGACTGCCTTAAACTCCTATTAAATCATTCAGCATCTCCCCAGACTAGGTCTCTCTCCATTTCCTTATTATCTTTTGCGTAATGTGAATTTATTTTTTTATTATTTTAAAATTTTGAAAATCAAGAGGAGACTGGCAATGCTTAAACTTGTGTGTTTCTAAGCTAATATGTAAGGGAACTGTACCTTAATTGGTACAGACTAAAGCTTTTATAAATGCTCATCAGAGCATACCATTTAAAACCATTTTGTAGCATTTTATGCAGCCTTGGTTTTGATCCAGTGTTCTATTTCTAGAAGTTCAATCAATTACCCAACATTCTGCAAGGTAGAAATGTCTGCAAAATACAGTATTATATTTAATTTGATACTAGAATAATTAGATTAAATACACCAAGGGTGTTGTGGGTTAATTGAAGAAGGACTGGAATTTCAGATTGCAGTTCAATCCAGGAGTGTTGTTAATCAAATCACTTTCACAGATCTTACTACATTTCTGGTGATTAGCAATCCACACAATCATACACAAATTAACTGATATTAAATGCAATGTTAGTCTCTTGGTCTCCCTACTTTCATCACTAGTAGCATGGATAGCTATTAGAAGGGAAATGTTTAAATTTTTAAAATTGAAATTAAGTAAAAGATCATGAAAATATTTTGGGTGAGGTTAATTTTCATTTTAAACACAAACAAATTTAGGGCCTCAGCTGGTGGAGAATGTTCCCTTGTCTAATGATGTCAAGATTGGTACAGTCAGGCCAGATAGCCACACAATCAAAACCTTTGCCTACCAAACAGAGGGATAATGTCAGTTATATAAACACCAATATGCACAAAGGAGTAATTGAGATCCCAATTGCCTGAGGAGCCTTGTTGATTTAATGCAGGAGCGAGGACTCAAGGAAGGAACTCAGATTCCAGTTTGAAATGTATTTTTATCTTTTAAAAAGTAATGCTCACAAAAAGGTGTCAGAGTGAAACCCAAGCTGGGTGTGCACAGAAAAAAGTATATCATGGGTGCTGGCAGCACAAGTTTCCACAACACTTTCCACCAATTTGCTTCTCTAAAAAAAGGCTAATTTCTAGGGATGAGAGGATAGTTCATTTTCTATGCCCATTTAATCCTCCTGTTCTCTGGTGTGACTTCCAAGAAGGATGCCAACTGGTGCTGAGATGGTGCTTCATGATATGGTCATGTGCCACTGAGAACTGAACTGGCCACCAAACAGCCACTACATGGCAATGACCTTAGGTCACTACCAACATAAACCAGTAGCCTAGAGAAGAAATACTGTAGCCCATTTTACCTGATACATCTAGTTCTTAAGTAATCTCTTGAGTTTTGGAATACTAAATATTCCACTGTATTAAGTCCAGGTTCCTCAGAGTGGGACCTCTGCCAGGCTACTGCATCTTTAGTAGCCTTTAGATAGAAGTCTTTAGATAGAAGACTTTACTTTTGACAAAATATGTAACCGTTTCAAGGCAGTAGTTTCAAGGATTTCCTTAAATTCTTTTAATTTAATTTATCTTTAACAACAAAGAATAGCAGATTTTGTGACATCATCAACTCAGAGCAGCACATAAGCTTTTATAGTCTAATTGCAGGTGATCATCAATCAAATAAGTGCCAGTGACACTTAAATGTCATCCTTCTGAAAAAGCAGATGTGGACAAGCTTACTAAGATCTCAACAAAAGGGTAGTCATTATTTACAGGACTATTTTTATGAAGCAGTTATAATGGGCCAATTAAGATGCAGAGGGTCTAAGTGCAAAATTTTAGTCACAAGATTCTAATAAAATGAAAAATATAATAAAAAGAAAAATTGCATTAGTTCCATTTTACCTCTTGAAGGTTATGCAGCTTAAGATGTGCTTTTGCCTCGTCTTTAGTGAGGAGGACCGTGTTCCATGGAGACCATTCACAGTGCTTATCCCATCTGACCATAACCAAATCATAGAGATCATCCCAGGCACTAAGAGCTGACTGACAACCCCAAATGTTCTCCACCATGTACTGTAGATCTTTTTGCTGTAATTGAAAGCAGGTTGAGAAGAATAAAGCATGCTTAATTCTACCAGCAAAGTCACCTTACCTATCCACCACTTAGGAATGCTTTGAATTAGAATTATTTTGTGTATGTGCCACAGAATAATTTTGGGTAGAGAATAGTGAACATTTGAGTCATCTAGCCTACCCTACTACAGTGTCGTGTGGCAGGGTTGATTTAATTCTTCTTAGATCATCCCTAAAAATGAGATTCTAATTTACTGTGGATTATTTCTGCTGATGGCAATTCTATACTTTGTGTTGACAGGTTGCTTAATTTCTTATTTTAAATTATTAATTTGCTTATATTTAATCTACATTTTCTCTGCTCCTTTGTATGCTCATCCCTACTTGTTTGGTCCCTGCTCATTAATAAATATAACTGATGCTTGTCCTTTATATTTTGTATTTTTGAGTTCATAATTAGTTTAAAATTTAATAAGTAAGTTATGGTACCGTGCTATGTTACTGAAGTCAAATTCAGCATGCAGTCAGAATAACCTGGGTTGAAGGATTGGGAGAGGGCAAAACACAAGTAACCCAGAATGCGCAATATCAAGAGGCTTATCCCCAGGATAAGCATGACAGGCTTTGCACTTCTCCCTTCGTATCCTCTTCTTCTATCCTACAAAGAGTTAATTATGTGTAGTGATATTGTTACTCATTCTCCCTCATGGGATTGTGACATCCTGTGGTGGTGCTGCAGGATTTAAAAATAGCTAGTGGTTGGCCAGTTTGTACTGTAAGTTCTGTATATACAGGCCTTAAATCTGATATTTTCCCCCTCTAAAGTTATGATTCACCCATACTGATCTCACTTTGTTTCATTTATTACTAGTCATCTGAAATCACTAAGTTTTTAAAAATAGTCTGTGAAGCAAAAAATGGTTTGGGGCCATAGTTAAAGTTGAACTTTGGCAAGCTTTTCTATAATGCGCCTGTGACGTTCCCCTCTGGTGTTATCTGGACAGGTGATCTGCTAGGTCACTCCAATCCTTGACTCTGAGAGCCAGTGTTACCCTGCTCTGCTGTGAGAAACCCCAATCCTGAGCTGTTCATGCACAGTCTCCAGCATGTAAGATGCTCCTTGGATTGTGCAACCGAATGACACTAGCCAATATCTCCGGTCCCAGACGCAACCCTAGGAACCTCTGTCTTGCAACCAGTTATGCCTGCTGGACACTGCAAGCTTATATGAGTTCATCAGTTTAACAAAG